CTACATTTGTGGAAATAATTTTGGAAATCGCCACCAGTGTATTAAAGTGATCCCCTAAGCTATTCAGATGTTTTAGAAGTTTTAAATTTTAAATTCAGACGCGTCATAACACAGCGCGTATTTTACGTAAGCAAGCACATTACCATATTTGATCATAGGCTGCCATTAAAATAAACCTTTTTATCAAAAAAGGATTTTAACGATTATAACCCGAACGCCGGATTGAGTGACCGCTTTATTAATGTGAAGCATCTGTTTATTAGTTTATTACGGAGAGTATCAGTTAACATTGTCACAGATTTTATATATCCGCTTACGTTAGCTTCTGCAAGTATTGAAACCAATCGATTGATTTGTCTGGTCTGTATTTTTGACTGGTTTATCCACAGTTGTCATAGAAACGATGCATAGTTGTTGGATTGTCATGTTATAAAACTTTCATTTGTATGTCGTATCATATATCAGTGATATTTTATCGATTTCGTTCAAATATGTCCCGATTTAAACTTATCATTTATGATCCTAGAGTATTTTGTAAAACATGTAAATATGAGTATGACTTATAGATGGACAATGGTAATTACGCTACAGATATCAAGCCATCACACGAAATAGTGTATGGGTATCGATCAAAAATCACACTTTCACTGTCAAAAACATTTTCTTCGTTTTGTGCCAATGGCAAATTAATGGACACATTTTTCTTCGCAAATCGTGGTAGGTATTTTTGTGGAACATATATTGAAATATCCAATATGTTCGATTATAACACTGGAATATAAAACACCAATTTTCGATTCGCTGGCGACTTTGTGACATAGACTCTAGAGTATCAATTAAATAATAGTCTGGTGGTGTGTGCACTTCCTATAAGCAACAAAATGATCACAGTTCGGTAAAATGTCCATTGTATCTCTTACATGTCATGATTGATCGGAATTCGTCAAATTCTGGGGTCAACATGTATCGAGCTAGCCACGTAGATTATTCCGTGACTATTGGCAATGTTCACATTCTATCCAGTAAAAAAATGTAATAAACGACATGTGAGATATGCGAAGACTCACCAACCAACTATTTCCCCTGAGTGCGAAGGTTTGCTTTAGTAATTTGCCAATCACTATATAGCTTCATCAAATATGACGCTAAGTATTGTCTGGTAATTATGAACAGAATCATTGAATTAAGGTATTCAAGCAGCAAGGGCAATGCCAGGGGTGTCCAATACCATGTTGTTTGCAGCGAGAACATTCCTGCGTAACATAGTTGTGAGTTTCGCTCCTTTAAGAAATTATCGTGAAGGTCACACTGTACGCATACAGATTGGTGTATCTGGTATTCATAGACTACTTTATGTTTAACATGCAAGATAGTTTTATTTCAACGCGTTTCATATTAGTAACCAAACTATTATACCCAGACACTACTATAGTATGATATATTTACCAATAAACGCGCTTGAAAATAACGTTGCTCCGTTGAGTGTACTGTTGTATCTCCTGGCACTGTCTGTCATTTCTAATAATGCATATAGCGCATATTTTACCAGAAACCATATTCATGTTTGGTAAACGACATTTCTCTATCAAGTGGCAAGTTAATCAACGCCGGCATCAACCGGGCCTACTGGAACACAACTTGCTTCACATATGTCTGTGTGACTTCCCTTATCGAGTATTTGGCTCACTGAACCAGGGACCGCTTTGTTGGTGTCCTGTTGGTGGGTCCATAATCCTAGGTAGGATCTGAATTCGGAACCTACACTTTCAACAATTATAAGTTGTGTGTAGCAATCACAACGCCACCACTGACTTAGATCAATTTTCCTATTGTTATACGTTTTCATTGTGTAAATATACTTGATAATACAGAACTTGTTTCGCTTGTTACGAAGTGATGTCAGTGATGTGAAAGTATAACGACCAAGGAATTATGTTATACGACCCCCACCACAAAAAATAAACTAGCGAATATACCTAAACCAAATTAACAACTTGATTAAGGCTTAATTTGAACCCAAACTCGCACCTAATTTCTCGAAGTTCTAATCTTTTGTAGTACACATTTGTCGATAGTCAAATATAAAATAAAGGATATAACACCCCTCCCCCTCCCCCTCACACACAAACACGTTCGGTAAATACAACACATGATGATGGTGAGAACTAGTGAATGGTTGCGAAGTGTATTAATTAGATAATCGCCCAGTTAGTTAACCCCCTCTTTAATATTTAATATCATGGAATACGATATACCCTATAATCTCAGTGAAGATCGTAATAGTTGGTGTCACTTCACAAGAATTAAATATTTTACCCGAAAGTATGGAAGATATAATTTCAGTATGTTATGTAACCTTTCACCTTCATCTGGGTCTTTGACTATTTTAAGGTGTTTTTCTGAATCCCTTCGTTTCTCCGTGTATTCATGAACAAGATTGGTCCAAAGGCAACGATATTCATATTCACGATGTGTTTACACACTATAAGTACGCGACTATGTATATTTAATAGATTATAATCAATAAGGCGTAAACGTGAATTAAACATTTAATAACTGTATGGAGTATTTTATTACAAATCGACTGTGCCAGCCCATCGCATTCTATCTATGGATGTGTCAAAATAATCAAGATAAACATGCTCGTTTAAATTAGGAGATTGTGTCACAGATGTAATCGCAGTTGTTCTCGACACATCCGTCATAAATCTATGTATTTGATTAAACAACAATGGAGGGGGAGTGATGCTGTGAACTATATAAATGATCACGCAGTTTCGTGTCAGTTCAACATCTGTACATTTCTATCAACTTCAATATCACAAAGTATGACTAAATCTCGTGAGACCAATTATATCTGTCCGTGTTTGTTTCCGTCTCGATTACGTGTGATTGCAGGGAACGTTTTGGACCAAAGCTACCGGATGGTCTTATTCGTGATGCATTGTGGGTATATATGATCATTGGATAAAGGTTGAATATGATTGTATGTTTATGTCACCTTTGCGTGTAGACTCATGTGGCGAATCTATGACAGAAATCTAATAAACTTTCACTTTAACAACAGTAGAAATTCCGACTCACTTAGATACTAATATGTGTCTGCTTTAAGTTTATATTACAGCCTGAAAAAGTCATTTTCACAGCACTTCGTGTCAGTTGGAAGTATTTCAAAACGGCAAGTGTTTGTGTCAGTGCAGCGGACTAAGTGAGAAATTAATTAAGGTAGTTTTGTAGGACATACCGTTAATTGTTAGTATTCACTACGACATTAGACCACCAATGTAGTTACATGACTTAAAACTACTGGGATACATAATGACAATTGGACTCCCTAGCTCCGTAAACAATTTATAGACCAATATAACAGTCTGTCGCGCGCACTGACACTGATTTATTTCCTGACATGGGATGATCGCTTGGGGCATTGTATCTTTCGACAAAAATAACAGGTCGAGTATGTGCTAGTCGGTAACATATTTCAGTTTCCAGTGGAAATTTTACAAGTTTTTTTTTCTGTGTCTCAAATTGTGGGAAAAGGACGACATGTGTTTTCTGCATAGTCGAAAGTTGTTGTAAGCAAACTTAGTTGTATTTCGTATTGTAAAACACTGAATATGTCGACCCGAGAAGTTCGAAAGTGAAAGTCACGTAGTAGCAGCCGTCGATTCGAATATACTCACTGTATTTTAGGGAAGTCATCATCCATATTGTCGTTTTTTGTTGGGAATTTTGTTCCTGTGAATCTAACGTATTCTTCATGGTATAAAATAAACCCGTGTACTCGTGGATCACGATCATATCATCACCAGTCGAGCGCCTCGTATTCAAGATCATTGAAACTAAACGGTTTGTAAGCGTTTCACGGAGCCACGCAAAAGGGGGTTTCAGTGTGACAAGGCCGCCGTAGAAAAGTGAGTGTGAATCATCATAAAAGGAGAGCTGCATTAAAATATTAGAATATTGGGATGAGGCGGCGGAGAGGGAGGGAGGGAGGGGGGGGGGGGTAAATAGTATATACGGAATACAATTAAATATTGAATTGCAATGCTTTAAAAACATGTTTATGTACTATATTAAAAATAGAATGTCATATTTACAGAAAAGCGTAAAAAAATAACTTGAATATCGTACAGATCAGTTGAAGGTTGGCAGAAGTATGATTACACCGAGAGCTAATACAGTCACGTAACTCTTGGAATGTTCCGGGTTTATATGAAAAGAGTTGATCACAGGTTAACCAAACTATATGAGAATTTACAGAGCTGTCAACAATTAGATAATTGTATCACTAGTAATCATAAAGAGTTTATAACAACAGGAATATTTGCAGCATTGTTTTTTTTCTAGTCGCGTACAGTGCTCACTCAAAGTTTGATAGATGAAATAAAAAAATACACAAAATGTAGCTACAATACAGTATTGCCATTACAGACATCACGTGACGGTTCTGTCACTGAAATTCATTTTGTTGTGTTCAATCTGGACAAATACGTAACTGTGGATTGCGTAGAATGAATAATCGATTCAACCATGGCATAGTATGACGTAGAAGTAAGCAAGGAGATTGCCATGCAGTAAGAGGATACTAAAAGTTATGCTTAAAACATAAAAAAACATGCATTTTATTTGAACAAAGCACTATCATAACCTGCATATATCTGCCGTCAGATTGTTTCAGGGCGTGGTATTGTTGGTGATCAATCAAGTTTGCAACACATGTCGGATTTCATTGTATTCTCCGTGTTTCTGCGCCAATTGGATTATCGCAACACATTTCAAATGGTACTTTAATACCAATATCGGTTCAAGAAAACAATCACCACAGTCACGTGACTATACACTTATGACCAGCTGAGTGGCATGAATTTCATAATCGTTAGAAAAAATGACTATAATAAAGCAGCAAACCGTATTTGTGAATAAATGTAATAAAGTATTTACAGAAAAAAATAAATAATGCTAGTTTGCTACCAGTACGACAAATGTTAACGCTACCCCGGGCTTTCAAAATGAATTATTTGGCGCTCCCAATACACCAACGATTCGACTAGTCTCCTCTTATTTCCAACTATGATAGTAAAAAAGATTGGTCCGTGTTCATATCATAAAAAAACGCTCTTTCACTAGACGGATCATCAGTCAGTGTTTTGTGGAACTGTTTGTATTTTCTTCGGCCTTCCCTTTGGCTTCGTTGGTGCTTCGGTACTTCCCCCTTGAAGGACCTGCGAATAAACAAACAAACCGGAATTTAATTTTGGTTTCAATGTATCACATGGGGTAGGTCAATTAACGCATGATTTGTGCCACCATTGACTACCTTCCCACGTTACTCGTAATCTGGAAAATTTAAAATGGCCGCAACTTTAAATCATTTACACTATTGTCGACATTTATGCATGTTTTCGTAAATCGAATTATTCCATCGAAATATAAAAAATAATATCATGTATTGTCTATTTATTTATCTGTCTATCTATTTTGTCTATTTAAAACAATATTGAATTAACAGAAGTTTAAACAAATCCCGCAAATAATTGCGCCGAAAAAGCAGAGAACATTCATTCCGTAAAACAACTTTGAAGTACATGAAATTTTAATAATCTGACACCAAACTTGAAAATAGAGGCAATTGATGGACTCTGGCCTGAGAGCGGATGATGATAAGTTGTAATAGATACGTATTGAGTGAGATCAGTAATTTCCATCGAATAAAGTTTCTTTCGTCGGAATATTTAGGCAGTATGAATGAGCACACCTCGAAATTGTTTTCACGGAGAAAACTAGTTTGTAAGTAAATCTAGCGACCATGAAGCCGCCATGTGTTTGCGTCACAAATGAGAAATCGTAAAACGTAACTTTGGTATATCAACATGCGTCTTAGATTGAACCAATCATTTCTGATTGTAATTTTGATATTTCGCTGCCGATGCAATATGAACCTTCCCTCCATTTCCGTAAAAGACTGTTAAAAATGGGTTGTGTTACAAATTCACAATATCGATTTGGTCAAAATGTTACACAACTTTATTCTAGGCACACTAAGTTGATAAATATCAGCACCGTTACTTTTCTCTAATATTTCGCCTAGCAACATTGTTTTTAAATCTTCGTACCCCACTTTCTAGTTGTTGCTGCTATTAGAAGTCACGTGACTGACCTGTTTTTTCCATTTCATTCTTCTATTTTGGAACCATGTCTTCACCTGTAACTGAGTCAGTCCAAGCGTCTCGGCTAGATCCATTCTGTCTGGCGTTGAGAGGTATTTCTGTTTGTCAAATCTTTTCTCTAAACCAAGCAATTGCATTTCTGTGAACACTGTTCTGCTACGTCGACATTTCTTGTGTTTGGAACTCAATTCTGGTGACGTAGACCCCTTTCCTCTGAGATAGACTGGTACTGGGATGGACAAGGATGATGGCGACGATGATGACGTCAGTGTTTGGAAACCTGGATACGAGCAGTCAAACAATGACATGATAAATAACAAAAAAAGCATTTTATGGTGATACTCAACACACAGAGAGCCATGATTTCCATGGCAACCAACGGTTAATGTTCGACGGTAAGTTTTTTTATAATCGTTACTATTGTGAGTATTGTTGAGACGTTCGGGATTTTGCATATTAGAATACCATTCTAGTTAATATACTAGCTTTGGGCAAAAAGACGACTGACGCGTGTTTTATTCTAAACCCCGGTTTAAATTTCCGGATTGTATAGAACATTTTAAAACGAAGACAAAATTATAATTTTAAAGGGCATTTGTCGTTCGAATTTATGTTGTTACAAACAACAAACAGACAATGTATTTTGCGCGCGAAGTACGCGTTGCACGGGCGTCCTATCGAACACTGTAAGCCGCGATGACCGCCACCCTTTAATGTAATGAATGAACTCGCATTGGTTATCTCAACGTTTTTCGCGCGAAAACAAATAGATGTATGTCTTCGTGTTTGCGTTTTTCAAGTAGTTCTGTAGAATACCCAGCATGGTATCATCGTTGGACACAGCACCATTGTATCGCTGCAGTGGTCGGTGTAGTCGGATATTCACTGGTTGCATGCACGCTACTCTGTACGCTCCATAAGGTCAGATCATTTCTATCCGGCAGGCAAGTCGGCAAACCGCTAATTAATTGTTTTCAACAACTTAAGCGTTTAGCCCTCGAAATCTGAGATAAGGTCACGAATATGATAGGGAACTTTAAGAAGGCGATAATATTTCCTCCTCTGAATGAGTCCAACTTCATCGCTCAATGCCGACAACTCAACTGTGTAGAGGTAACGCTAGGAGAGTGACGTCCAACGATTCATTACCGTGTGACGACATAAAACACATACGAAAAGTTAGTTTACAGATTACCACTTTGCGCTGGCAGTAGATAATACGGAGCAGGGAAATAAGTTGCTAATCATCATTAAGTTACTATTATCGCCAGACCTTGACAAACTAGAGTACAGAGTACATTTCTCATTCCAGTCCAATGTTTGACAAGCGACAACAAAAGCGACAACAATTATTTACTCACACTGTATACAACAGTATATCATTATAAGTGTCTTCTGAAACGCGCCCGAGGCTTGCAACCTTGATGGAATCGTCCACAAAGAGGCGACACGTGTCAGTGTCGGGCCAGGTGGCAGACGCTTGTGAGTCTGTCCTAAATCAATAGATTGATATATTCAAGCAGATTACCCATGTGACAAGACATATTTCTGGTCTTTGACTTTCCTGAAAGACTCTTGTATGTAGATGAATCCAAATCTACAAGCACCGACATCCAACGACAATCGTTCTAGTAGTTGTGGAGTCTTGTCTCGATACCGCGACTATGACCACTTTAATGGAGGCAAGCACTGTTAATAACCGAGTATTTGTAGTATGCTAAATAAAAGAGCTTGACATTATATCTTCACATGAACAATATAGAGCCATTTATTATTACAATAAAACACCTTGGTCTGCAAACATAACAGTATTCGATGACAAAATTATGAAAAGCGAAATACAACGTGGCTCATATTTGCATAGTATACGTACACGTAATTCGAGGCGCATGCGCACTAATATGCTGCCAAGACAACGTTTTTATTTTACGATAAATCATACCTCTTGTTTTGTTTTGTTTTGTTTTGTTTTGTTTTGTTTTGTTTTGTTTTGTTTTGTTTTGTTTTGTTTTATCTTGACCAACTATCAAACAGGATTATTTAAACATGTTCATCACTGAAAAATTTTCAAATTCAGAATTGATTTCAAGTCTAATCATGTATTATTTACACGAGGGTATATGCCTGAGGTATGCGCCGACTGTGAAACAAATATAGTACATATCTAGTTTTGTTTTAGTTTGGATAAATTAATTATTTAGTGAGTTTTAGTTAGGGTTCAGTCATTCTTTCGATTCGAGAATTCATTCATAAAAAATCCTGAACACCGTTTCCCATAGCAGCCCCTAACAAATTAAAGCGTCTTGTTTGACACATAGCGATCTTTCGAATCTTGTATACGTCGCATGTTATTCAACTCATCGGATAAATTGTGGTCTTATTTACTTGCGTATCGAAGATATATTCTGAATATTCGAAAGAAATGTATTGATGGGTATTGAAGAGTTCATTACCTTTTCAGAGCGCATTGTGGACAAGATAAGGACTGAAATTTTCATTTATCAGGCAGGGATTGAAATAGAATTTTTTCCCTGCATGCACAGTGTGCATGTTGAATTTGAAATTTACCTGCAAATGTATTGATGGGTATTGAAGAGTTCATCACCTTTTCAGAGCGCATTGTGGACAAGATAAGGACTGACATTTTCATTTATCAGGCAGGGATTGAAATAGAATTTATTCCCTGCATGCACAGTGTGCATGTTGAATTTGAAATTTACCTGCACAAACTTGTTGTGAAATGCACCACTTTTAAAGTTTAAATAACATTTACGGTTTATCGATTGATGATTGATTTTTTAGTTGTCTTACAATGTTGGTTGAACTTAATTTAGGAATATAATGAATATAATGAGAAAATGTTAATTTCTACATGCACAGTGTGCACATTATATTTTGAGTTTACTTGCACTAGCTAATAATCTATGTGCATAGTGCAGTGTGCACACTATATTTTGAGTTTACTAGCACTAGGTAATAATCTATGTACATAGTGCAGTGTGCACATTATAGTTTGAGTTTACTTGCACTAGCTAATAATCTATGTGCATAGTGCAGTGTGCACATTATATTTTGAGTTTACTAGCACTAGCTAATAATCTATGTGCATAGTGCAGTGTGCACACTATATTTTGAGTTTACTAGCACTAGGTAATAATCTATGTGCATAGTGCAGTGTGCACCAGAGTATTTCGACCCCTGTCAGGATCATTGTATTTGCATGTCTCTGTTGTTTCATTTCCAAAATAATGTTGTTGTTTTTTTTACAATAAACCGTTAATCCGTTACAATTTGTCGCAAGATGTGTATTTATCTGGCGTAATACCACAATTTGAAAGACACTTTTTGTGACAAAATTCAGAAACGAAAATAACGCAATTATTTTGGTTCATGATTCTCCTTTATGCGGTAGTAACCTGCTTTCATTTGACACGACCACGAATAAACTTGTCCCGTTTATTGGGGAGACACTGAATCGGCGGCAACCAAATGTGGAAATCGATGAGGGTTGATTGAATAATCTATGTGTGAGTTTATAAAGGAGAGCGAGGAGTAAACGTATCACAATTAGTTGTTTTAAAAGTGTCACATAATTATTAAGTTGCACACATGCCATCAACTTGTCGTTTATTTTGTGCAGTATAAAATATTGTTTTGCTAAAAAAATAAACTGAAAAAATTAAATCCACGTTAAAGCATTAAAAAAATAGGTTTTATAAGAATCTCCAATAATATGATATCCATTTTTTAACTACATATGTTTTTTTTCATCTTATGTAACTTAGTGAAATCATGCGATATGATGGGACCTCTTATCTTTTGAAACCAATTGTACTCAAAAATTACCATTTTCATTGATGCTACACCCTGGTGTAGTACGAAACGTAGCAACTGAACATATTTATCTGCTTTTTGCGATCAACAGAATACAATTAAAACCATTTTGTAAATATTACTGAATTGTGAAACTCTGTTTGAATGATAGCCAACTTAATATAAAACGATAAAAATGTACGTCGCTCGCTATCGATCTATATAAACCGATGGACATGGACACCAAGTATTAAATGAAATAGGTTTTCATGGATGTGCATTTGCGATATGTGTGTAACGGACAGTGTGTTGAAAGCCAGTGTGTAATAAAACTGATTAAGCTGGCGTAAAAGAAAACTTGTTTTAATTACCTGTAAGGGGGTCATTGCAATGCCTTGAAACGTGTCTAAATAAATCGGATACACCGTATCTTGACTCTGCATCGCAAACATTACCGACTGCAGGAAGGTCATCTTCTGGTCGTTTGGAGTCTGATTTTAAAATGTCATCAATGAAAAAAGTTGGTTTTCTAGAACGACAAGCCGGTATATGACGCGGTGCGAAGACTGGCATTGCCGGCATAGGCCCCATCATGAAGTTTTGCCCGCCGAGAGATGTGAAAATCGACTGTGGCATTAACGACATAGGCTGAACCCGTATACACTGCATGGTTCCAAAGAATACTGGATGGTGTAGGCGTTGTCACTGCACTGGGTTGCCTGAAGTTGTTGAAGAGCGCTACGTAATATATTGCACGATTAGCCACAAATAACCAGTATTGTTGGTGACTGGGTCATTGACTAGTTTACTGGGCACGTTACTACAGGTAGAGAGACTTCGCTAGAAAACTTCTTCTGAGTCATGCTCTAGCCACGCTTTATGTTTACACTTTCCCTGGGCGGATTGTTCGATTATCCCATTGAGGGGTGGAAGCCACTCCACGGATAATCTTCCATCCGTAACCAAACTCTACACCCACCGGTCAACCAAACGTTTTTCGTGGTATGCAGTCCATATTTTGTCACAGACGCGACTTTTTTGTTTTTGCTTAGTTTTAGACAGCTTGAGTTTTTTTTATCAGCTACCAATAACAGTACAAGATTTCCAATCGACGGTCAGTGATGGACATACTTGATTTAAGATGAACAACGAATAGAGCCTCATTTCAAAGGATGTTACTGAGAATGATGTACTTTTAACCCCACGCTAGTTACACTAATGAATTCCCATAGAATGCGAGCGCACACCATGTAATGCTGCATAGCTGAATCGCCCCCATTTTCAATTGTTGAATTTCCGTCGGCAAAGTCCGTGTGACATTTCACAAAGTGGCATACCGCCTGCCATTGCACATGGATGAGTTTAAAGAGCGTCGCCATCTCTCTTCAATTCATAGGTTTCTAGACCATTACCAGTGAGCGGAGCTACGCTCTGGTCGAACAAACCATCCCGAACAAATTACTTACCAAATATTTGCGTCAGAATTCTCAACTGACTTGAAATTTCAATAATTTTAAGTTTGGTTGCAATAGAATTCCCTGTAA